AAAAAATGTTAAATCTAAGTTATGCCTTTGTTATATTAAAAATTCTTTCTGCTTTGATACTTCTTCTGGATGAATTAGTAGTAGCCGAATTTAAAAATATCTCACTGTGTTCGTTCGTCGTTACCGGTAATTTTTCAAGGAAAAAATATTAAATGTATCGTACCACAATATGAGAAACAACGTAGAGTAATATTCTGAATAATCTCAAGTGAATGGTAATCGTAACACATTGATCATTCGTTGGATACACAAAGGATTGCGAAAAACGACATACGTTCCCGAGATACCGATTGCTTCGGACCTGACGGCTGACATTCGCAAGGAAAACCGTCTTCCGACGCCGATTGGCGGGTCATGGACCATGCCACCAATCAGCAGCGATCTGTGAGTGTGAACGTCAACAGAGTAAACCGGGCTTAAAGTTATCAAGAATTTCTCGTTCAGGCATGACACTTACTAGTCGTAACATATCATCGTCAAGGAATGTGATGAAAACATGCAGCCCTATTTAAAAGATTTGCTTTCTTCATTACCTCTTTCGCTGGTACCAAGATGCTTGATGTGACACATTCTTATAATTCATCAAAACTTTTGCATACTTGAACATGCTTCCACGGACTTAATTTTCACTATAAACGCACTACCGTCTGTTCACAATTCCCAGTCTTCCTCTTTCTTATTCGTTTACTTAAAATATATAATCCTTTTTATTCACCGTTACGAAACATACTATCCAAAGAATGATAGGTGCATCTGTGGCTCTCGCGGACTCGATACACACTATCCCTCTGTTTCTCGCACCAAAAGAATACACGTACAATACGGGCGGATTGACACTTCAGTAAACAAGATCTACTATCACCAATATACTTCTACACTAGATCTAACGTCGTCGGTTTTACTTGAAATTACACCAATATTCGTGGTTAATCGTGTTCTTGGTTTGATAATATCGATGATACAGATGACGGGCCCTTGCCCAGTTTATCGTCCTTCGTCTCCTCTCGGGATCCTGCGTCCCGATACGTCCACCATTTCGATTTTTCCGATCACGTGGTACATAACGTCGATTATGATTGGCTCATTCACCATGACCACGTGACTGGAAGCCAGAGCACAAACTTCCATTGACAAGGAGAGGTCCATCAGTGCAATACGAGTTAATCGATGAATATTTGTACTCTGATAAATATTAAAATACTACAAATATTAACATATAGGTCCAGATGCAAATAGGTTATAGCTTACAACACATGAAATCTTAAAGCTTTTACTGGGTCCGGGTAAACAGAAACATGCACCTACCAAGTATTACCAGCAAGATACCAACTTATCGACTTACCGTTTTCGTGTCACACTCTGTCGTATCGATTGGAAATGATTTTACAACAGAAAACTTTACCAACAGTCCTTAGAATAATCCCTAGAAACGAGAACACACCTTTCTTCGTTCCTGCTGAACAGATTGCAAAGAAATTTGAGGGCCGTGTTCAGGAGGCCCTAAAGAATGACGCTTTGGTCCTTATTTTACCCAAATTGTCATAAAGTTACAAAATATTGAAATTGGTGTCTGTCCATGGTCAAGAAAATGGCGGATCAGACTTACCTGCATTAATTTATTCGTAATATAAACATTTTTGCGAATCGTATGTCCAAACAGAGATCAGAGCGCCATTCTTTGGGTCAGATAGAGCAAAACGAGCACTCGGGGGATGGTGTACAAGCTTTCGTTTAGAAAAATAGTGAGAACTACGATTTCGTTGATTTTTCACTTGCGAAAGACGTCAAAAAGGTAAAACAGACCACAAATTTAGTTCCTCGTTTTTTCTGTAGGGCGCAATTCATTCGTTTAGCATTGTTTAGTTTAGGTGTATGCGAAAGGTGACGTAGTATAGCATGCCGTTATTTGGTTGTAATAACTAAGGTGGCGCTTGAATCAGTTTCTGTTCAGCTTAATTTTCCATCTAACATAGACTGTTTTACCGATGCGGAATTTGGAGTTCGGCCTCGACGCTTGCATCTCCAAAACTAAACACGATTATTATTTACTCGCTTATGGCTGTCTCATATTTTACGAAAAGAAAAAAAGTAGAATTTTTAGTGTGGTTAGTTTCTCCATCCTTTGCTAGATGGCACGAATGGCACCGTTTTCAAGATTCACTTTAGCATGAAATTAAAAAACGTAAAAATAACATTACCATACCGTACTTTGTAGTACTTTTCGCATATTAAATTTGTTCGTTTTTAGTAGTATGATATTACTTTAAATCCATGTTTTATGCGAAACATTAAAATGACAAGATAATAACCCATTCACATATGCATGGCATAAGTTAGATTTGCCATGATAAATTTGATTCTGAAAAAGGTTGCGAGCGTTATTTTCATATGGTAGCAAACTGTATTCATTGTGTAGGTAATAATTCAGTGGCGATCAATGATGGATTGACGGCATATCTATTGACTGCTCCTCTCATTGAGATAGGTATCTAGGAATATAGTAATGGAATGTAATACACGTACAATTAATGGCTGATGTGTAACACAGAATTTCGGTATTGACGTTCTCTTCATGTCTACATTAACGAAACTAGCTGGTCGATTAATCAATACGGTTGCAACTATTAGCATATTTTATCTACCTTAGACATTTTCAGTAGATAAGCACACATTATTTTTTGATAACATCTTTAAATACAAGTAACATCACAGCTGATATTGAAACTGAGGCAATTTACATGCATATTATTCCGTAAATTTTATTTCTACCTGAACATTTTGATAACTGCCTTATTCGTGATCTTGACGTCTAACTTTTAAATATAACACGTAACCCACTCCATGTATGAATATTTTTGTTATCAATGTTACCTTAAAAAACATGTAATGTATGTATATGCCACATACGTGTACCAGCGTGGGACGACATTTAATCTATGAAAACGTTTCAAATGTTTGCATTTAAACATGGATTTTGCCTTTAACATTAGATTGACAGCAATGTTATTAGATCACGTCTATGATTTTCTAATTTCTGACATGAGATTAAGAGGATCTTGTGCCCGGATAACGGACAAAGCATTCATGTATCAGAGGTATCACACTAGTAATTGAATTACTAAATAAAGCTATAACAATCTGAATGCTCTGTTTGAGTGAAGGGGAACGTATCACAATGGAACCTAGGGAAATCAGTGGAAGAAACTTCGTTGGCAAAGTTTCGTCAAGTTGAATGAAGAAAATGAACGAAACGCGGTTTCTATTGCAAATTTCAATTTAGCGGAAGACCATTTGAAACGTGCTTCGAATATTAATGAATCCTTCCGTACAGCTGTGCGCCTATAATTCATTATAATTCATCCGTGCAACCAAAGGTAACTGAAGGCTCTTCAAAATAATTTAATTACAAGTACAATTAGCCACACGAGAGGAGATCACTGAAACATCCGTTTGTCAATGCATAACATTTGCAATACAATGTTCGTACAACAAAGGATAAGAAATGTCTGCGAGTGGCATTCGAGAGATGATAGAAGCGTTTATACGTTACGTCATTCTTGCACTTAGAATGTCAAACGTGGGCGAATGATCAGATGTCAGGCAGGAGTTGAGAGAAGATCTGGGGGGGTAAAATGGTTTTCGTGTGATGCCTGAAACGAGTAAGACGACCGCCAACACGACGCATTGAAAGCGAGCCACCAAAGTTCTGCTTTTCTTCGACCGTAAACCAACTACTTTTCAGAAATATTTTTCTCACTTCGAACTGTGAAGTCCAGCAACTCTGTTATGTAATTTATTATTCTCCTTTAATTGTAAGGAGAATAGGTATCTATTACGTAAATCTAAAGATACTACAGTTCAGCAGGTGTAGAGCACATTGGTAGTACTATACACCGCATATTTCTTATTCATAAGATTCTATCACGAAGGTTTATTTGTGTAGCTCTCTATTAAATTACTTCACATTGCATTGGCCATTTTTTAGAAGTTGATAATTATTTAACGAGAAGCACATCCTTATTAACTATTCCAGATCTTTGTTTTCTGTTTGTAACTTGTTGCTATTAATTTCAATTAGTAGTTTTAGAATGAAGAATACGGTGTTTCGACCGGGATATACGATTGCTTATGGATAACGTTGCAGGAGATTGAGTAAGTTTACGCAGTGTATGGTCAGACACGGACATGAGTAGCAGCGTATTACTATAGAGACCGGGAGCGAGTAGTATTACCGCAGAACAAGGGAGACGATTTCCCAGTAGTACAAGTCACCATTTGAAGCTAGGTTGGGAGTAATGAACCTATTATTGATACTTCCGTGTCGCATTTCCGCTTAGTTTTGTCCGTAAACCAATTGGTTTAAGATTTCCAAAATGGATAAAGCGTAGTTTAAAATATTATTTTGAACAAAGATCATTGAAAATGGAATTTTTATAATTGCTTGTCTTTTTATCACGCGAATAAGAATGCTTTGCGTATATTTATCGTGATGAGCTAATTAATCATCTACAATCTACGGGGCCAACGTATTTTAAGCTAACAAAGTTAATGGTTATATCATTGCTCATACATAAGCAACGTAATTTTTGGCTTCACGAGATAATTCAGTCTGAGATATTGAAGAATTTAATGCAATAGAAGAGAAGAGAATTAGGACAGCTTTTCGGAGTTTCAAGGCTGTAATCAGGTACAATCGAGAAATTACTGTCCTTTTGCATTAGAATGCTAGACTAAACGAAGCGTTCGAACGGAAAGTCAAGGAACCCATTAAAGATAGATTCCCAATTCGTACTCGTGCCTCGCTTAATCAATTTCTCGTGTAACATTCCACGTGGGGATTCCTGTACGCGAAAGGCGTTTAAACTCTATCTGGCACGATGCCTATCGCAATAATTAACAGCAAGTACACGCGTCTGCGTATTACATCTCACCAGTAATATATATATATATATATATATATGTATGTATTAAAAAAGCAGTAAAAAAGAATCGAATGGTAGGAAGAACAAGTCGGAAAAATATGAAAAAGATTGCGAAAGGTCAGAAAAAGAACCGCGAGTACATCGATGAAAGATGCGATCGTTAATACGAACGTCGAATTAAAAAATGAAGAAACAATCAGAGCAAAATACACGGTAGTTGTGCAAGTATAGCCGAAAGGGGTAGGTGATTCGTGGTTGCTCGTCAGAGCGATCGGTTCTCGTCGGTGGCGCTCGCCTAGGTTCGTCGAAACAACGCTTGCGCTATGTTACCCGCTTGACGTAGCAAGATGGCGGCGGCGTGTCGGAGGCGTCTCCGTCCGCACAGTGCTCGACGTCGAGCAGTCCGCGTACGTTCGCAACAACGTTTCACCGCATTAATGTGGTAGTGTATCCGGAACACCGTACACGACCGTGGCCACAGTGTAATCTCGTGTTTCATATCGTAAATCATCAACAATCAGAGAAACAACGTGCAACGGCGGGACGTCGCGATCAGTGCGAGGAACAAGGAAAACCCAGTAACAGTGTGAACTAGATTGTCCCGTTCGTAATAATTTCGGTTGATTTAGCTCGTGGTGCGTGTTTTTCGTCACCCCCCTTTTCCCTATCCTTCCTACACCTTCGTTTTTTCCTCCTTTCTTCACCCTACGTTTCTCTATCTCTCTCTCTTGTTTCGCGTCCCTCTTTTTTTTCTCAATTTCCATCTGAAAAATTACTCGCGAGACTCGGCTCTGTACATATACATATACACGCGTGTTGTACCGTCTGGTCTGATTCGTTTTGGTAGCCCGTGTATTTCTTATCCGTCCCTATTCTCCTTGGAATCACGGTGAAATGCTCGTAACCGATTGTGCCTCGAGACAACGACGAGGACGTCGCGCCTGTCGTTGGTGTACGATTCCTTGACGAGCACGGGATACGTGCAAACCGGCGCATGCACTGCAGCCCCTGCTACTATGATAATAACGAGAAAGGTGGCACGGTGGGCGCTCCTCCTGAAGCGAGAGGCGCTCGGCCGAAACTACGGTGCACAAAAGCGGTCAGAACAAGCACCCTCCGGTGTCACAGCGATGCTGCCTCGTTCCGGCCGGGTAGATGACAACATCGACACCGACACCGACACCGTGGCCACCGACCTGCACAGGACCAGCAGCCGCGTCGCGTTGGCGCTGCCGTTGCCGTTCCCGTTCCCGTACTACTATCACTATTACTATCACTACAACCCTCGTGTTGGCATCGCAGCCTCAAAGTCGTTATTCAAGCTAGATCGCCGCACGCTCGACAAAGACCACGAGGACGACTTGCCGATACCGGTCGAGAGGATCGACGAACCGCAAGGGAAAGCTACGTGTGCTAAGTTGTTAGCCGCATCGACCGAGCTAAAAACGAAGGAGCAACAGGACGTGGAACACGGTGAACAGGAAACGGAGAACGTGCCGAGAGGAATAGAGAAGGAAATAACAGTGTTCGCGAGCGTGGACAGTAACTGCCTTAATTATCAGAACGTACGAGCACGATTTTCTGCATGACCAACAGCCCCTTTCTCTCTCTCTCTCTCTCTCTCTCTCGCTATCTTTCTCTCTATCTATCTATATATCTCTGTCTGTGTCTGTACGTGTGCGTGTGTGTTACGTCGAGTGCGATTTCACACAGTACCGGCGTGTAAAGATTACGACCGAAACGGAACGATCCTCGTGCATAACAGTTCAACGCGATCAGTACGTTAACCGATCTGGCTGTCATTAAATAACGAGCTTCTAAGATACTCGTTAAAGGTACGGGGATTAGCGAACAAACGTGCGTACGCGCGTGAATACCTCGTGGAAGTCAGTGACCAAAGTCAACGAGAGCCGAAGTGGTGCGCGTATGCGAGTCGTAAATTTGAACGCTCGACGCTTTCACGGTTCCGTTGTCCCCAGGTCGCGTATACGTGAGAATTCACCGGCATTCGCGGTACATTTACGCGGACACGAGACAGAGCATCGCGAGACAACTTTGCCCGGATAGAAAGGACAGTTGTTGTCCGCTGGTGTTGGTACACACGCGTGCCGGTGTTACGGGACAACTCGTTTCAGAGAAAACAGAGAGAACGTTACGAATAGGGGTGGCTATACGTGAAAAGGGAGAGAAAAATAATACGAGGGAAAATAGAAAACAAAAGAACGGGAAAGTGTGATATCGGACTGCCCGTTGCATTCGTACTCCTGCCTTGAAATTTCGATTCGTGTAGCGCCATATCGCGACACGTATATATACGTATTGTATCCATCTTTGTCTCCCTCTTCCTCCTCCCTTTTTCTTTGTTTCTTTCTCTGTAATATTTACGTACATACACACATATACATATATATATATATATATACGAATACGTATTATATACATACATTACACACAACACATATATACGTATAGATATATCTATATACGAGTATATATGCACGTATAAATATACACGCGTGTTTCTCGTGTACACACGTAATACGTGGTACAGGCGCACAGTACGAAAGAAAATAGTAATATATCGGTGCGGAAAGGCGGGTTATACGTCGTATACGCGAGTGTGCTTCTTCGATCCAACGTGTCTCGTTATACATATAGCTGCATCGTTTTCCTACGGATCTCCACGTCACATCAAGTGCAGCTTGGCCAATTAAGCGAAACTCTCAGCATTAAGCCGATCTACTAGAACATCTTCGAACATGTCGCTGCTCAGCGTCACGGGTGAGTCTTTTCTTCTTCTTATTTTTCTTCTATCTTTATATTTTCAGGACACCAACTCGAGTTAATGAAACAAGCGAGTCATATTTTCTTAAATACAAAATTAATTATATTAGCGAAAAAAATATTTTATTTTAACATAAGATTCAGCGGAATGATACCTTGGCGTCGATATACTTTATTATGAAATCCCGATGATTTGTTCCTCGCATGGGAAGCTACTTTACCTTCGTGTCTATGTAAATATTGTTGCCGGTAGACAGGTTATTTCATTCTAGACCGAAACCGAGAAGAGAAGAAATAGAGTTATAGAGGCGAGGGTGAAGTAACGTTAGAGCAGCAGCGCAGGATGGCCGTTTCGAAACGACCCGAATATTTTACACCGCTCTCGCCAGATTTAAAACTTTCTTTTCATGCTTCTAAATAAACTGTTCGAGGAGCGCTAGTAACTCTAAGCAAACTCGTAGAAACGAAGACATATTTGAGAGACAAGGTAGAGAAGAGAGTTCGAAGACTTTTAGCGAAGATATTGAACAAGTTGGGAAGTTGCGTTAATTGATGAACGTTACCGAACTCATTAATTACGCTAATAATTGAAGCTGTTTACCGAAAGGTTTTTCATTTTTGCTGATGGTTTCGAAACAATATTCTTTGTAACTTTGCATTTTTCGCGTTGGTACTATTTTCCACGAATTGGTTACACCCTCAATCATCTTGAAGAAATGAAAATGCATGCAATATACAGCAGAATTTTCTGAACGTCAGCTAAAACGATTTTTTACGAGCAAACCAAACACGTGGCTGGAATATGAAATTAAAACATCGTATACAGTTCTCTCTAGCTCTTCGTTTTTATTGTACCCATTGCTGTTTAATGTTTGCAAGTCGTACAAATTATTCTCCAACTTTATATTACGCACGTACCTTCTCGCGTAGCAATATTTGAAATGACTAAAGTTAGAAAATTACGTTTCGTAAAATGAGCGTTCGTACAAGGTGCATAGGGTGTTCTTTTTATTGGAAAGCCATTCGAAGATGAAAATATAGAACAAAGAGTAGCGTTAAGAGTGAATCTGATAATTTCATTGGCATCTCTGTAACACGACTAGATCAACCTTTCCTTTATCTAATTTTCACATTGGATACATTCAAAATTGGAGAAGCTGAAATTCCATTCGTTTCTATATTTCATTTTCAACCTATAAACGAATTTCAGTTTCCAATACTTATAAGTGGATTAAATTTATAACGAAAGTATCCTGGATTTTCTTCTTATTCGGACTTTTGTATTCGACCTCACTTGAGAAGTTATTTCTAGGTCAGACCCGATCACTGACCATTGCCGATATCCTCTATAATATATCTTATACATCCTCTGAGATTTTACATACATACGTCGCTCCCTTATATACACAAATATTCCCATGTACATACATGTATCAAGGTGTGATCCTCTTTTCCAAGTGCCTTTCATAGAAAAATCAATGTTCAACCACCTCTACGATTCCGACAATTCTTATCAAAAGCGTAACCAAATCGAGGGCAAAAGAGGTACAGTATTGCACAGTAACAATTTTGCAAATTCACACACTTAGTGGGCAATAACAAAGGACACTAGCGAAGAGGGCTGTTATTTTCCTCACGGATTAGTCTATAAATTCGCAAAGTTTTCTTCTGATTAGAGATTAGTAAGGATTCGCGTCAATTCCTCGACAATTAATCGTGAATTAGCGCGTTAAGCCTAAGGGGAAGCGATTTTCAATGCTTCTTTTATCTTTGCTCTATATCCGGTCATAAATGTCACTAGGCTCGGACTCTTCCTGTTCAAGCGGGCAGGTAGACGCACGTGTACAGACCGCGTAGGTGTATTCAGGTGGTAACGTACCTCCAACAGTCGGGTATACAGTGATAACAAAGCGCATGAGTGTTCGTCTATGACTACGGGACAGCGAGAGAGGAGAAAGAGAAGCTACGAGGATGAAGAGAAAGAAAGAGAGGGAAGTAGAAAGCATAGTGCAACGGTTGACCCCGGTATACGGGGTCATTCCCTTCTTCAACCACCACCACCACCTACCACCACCGCCAACTACCCTCCTGCCTCCGGTTCTGCCGCTCACCTAGCATCCCCTACTACCGCTTTTCCAACCCCTTCTCAACCGTGTATCCTCCATCAACGCTACCATCACGACCACCCAACTCCACTCTCCTCTCGTTTGCCCGGCCAACGATGTAGCTACGAGGTGCTACGGGAATGTAAACTCTGCTGCATACGTTGCTCGACACGGACAATCTTAGCCGATACAGCAACCCTGCATCTTCCTTTGCCTGTCACTCCATTGGACAGCTAATAACTTACCAGATATTCGCTTTAAGATAATGTTACAGATACAGACCTCGAAGGGTCGTCCAGGATACATCCGTACAATCGTCGAGTTCATCTTATAATTCTCAAAGAGATAGTCTTGTTAGAAAACGGAAACAAAATTTTCATAGAAATCCATTAGCCGTAGGAAGATTAAGTCCTGAAGGGTCGCGTAGATTGTAGCTATTCCCATATTTTGATAGAACGAAAAATTATTTCGAATCTAGTAAATCATACAGGAGGACGTTGGTACTCACAGTTTCATATCGGTTCGTCACGAATTGATGGGAAAGTAGAGTAGAAAATCGGAGCGAAGATTAATAGGAAAATCTCTGAGGATTTGCAGTCCTGGAGATTACACGGATGAAACTCGAATGTAACAGGAATTTATGTTGCTCCGTTATTTATTGGAAGGTGACTACATTTCGAACTGCAGCTTTTTATTTATTCCTTACCGGGTTGCATTGACGATAGAAATAGGTCAACTGATTCGAGGAAAAACATTGGTATCTCGTTTCTTTTGGCAACTGCTCCTCGAAGATATCGGTCTCTCGTATTGCGGGAAATATTTAGAACGATTACCTATGTGTACCTTCAGAAATGATCGAAACCTCTTCGGGGATTGACGACCGGTTGACGGGAAGAAATCTTTAGACGCGTGAAATCTTCGATTTACGATTTTGTCATATATTTTTCGATTGTGTATTTCGTAGCGGCGAGGTGACGCAGGTTATTCGGGTCACCTCGAAATCCAAATACGTCGAGGGAAACGAGACTAATAAAGGAATGCTTTCACGACACTTCGGATTACGTGTGCCTCTCGAGTTATTATAAAAATGAAAGTGAAGAAAATGGAACGGTCGAGTTATATTTTCTTAGGCAGCCAGTGGCTTTAGAGTCGCGTTAATTTATTCGTGATCATGAAAGCGCGAATTCCTGCCGCTTTCGTGACAAAGAACTCGCACGATGTAACAATGGCAGCCTCGAGGATCTCGAGGGTGAGAAACGGAATGAACGAGATCACAGAACAGCGACACGTTTGTTGAGAAAGAATTAAAAAAAAAAGAAAAGAAAAAAGAAGATAGTGCGTACGAAGCACGGTGTATTCCGATGCACCGCGTTCTTTCCCCTCGGAGCATTCCCTCGCAGTTGCATTCACCTAATAACTCTGTTAACATTACATTTCTGAGTACGTCCGAGGGATTACGTAACAATGAACGCGAATTACCATCAAAGGAACTATAATATTTGGTTTAAACGTGGTTCATGTATACAACGAGCGTATGTTTCCTATTTGCTTTCTCTTTTCTATCAAACACTGTAGAGACGTACCTAAAGATTAATTCGTGATAGAATAATAGTTTTATTCGAAACGTCGAGGCAATTTGTTGGATAGAATATAAAGCAAAGGAAAGAAAAAGAAGTGCGAAAGAAATAAAAAAAAAAAAAAAAGGTCCGGCTAGTGTTTACCCAATCTATTCTAT